AACAGAATTTGTCTTTATTTTTCAGTATGACATTGATGAATAAGCCTACTGGTAGATTGCAGCAACGTTTTAAAATTAATTATTGAGGGAAAATGAGTATCATCTGTGGAAGAAATAAAAAAAAAATGATATGAATGCGTGTGGTGTATGAATCTCTGGTGTAGTAGAATGCATGAATCAAAGCCAATAATTACTGCCTTTTAGTGGCCAATAGTGAGAGTTTTGTGTAGGCAAGGAATGTTGGCTGGGCCCACTATGTAAATAAATCTAGCACCTCTGTATTCTTTACCATTAAAAGGGAGAAGCTTAGTTGATACAATTTTGGGGTGTTTTGTTGGCTTGCTTTCTCTTATCACATAATTTGTCTCCTCTTTTGGTTTTTGTTCCATTTGTTTTTAAAGTTCAGGTTGTAAATTAATGCCAATTATAATTATAATTTTTCACCTTAATAAAAAAAAGCCAGGTGGTATATGTAAAAACCTGTGCTTTGTTTATCTCATATTAGAAGGAACTGAAATAAAACCCATACTTGGCAGCTGCTAACCTGATTGTCATATAGTATGAACCTGCCAGATACTATTCGATTTATTCAGTTTTCAGCAGAGCTTATATTACTTTTAGGCATTTCTACTAACCTATATTTCAAATGATAATGTGTGCTGCTTTATGGTACTTCGTTCATTTTGGTTGTGTCGAGACTATTGTGTATCTTTTTCTGAAAGAGGCTTTTCTGACATTTGATCCGTCTACACAGGGCCAAAAGTCGGGGAAAACCCCTTTTTTTGGACCATCCCTTCTTCCTCGTAAAAACAAAGTTTACAGCGATGCCGAAAAAAATGTGCCTGCTTTTCCGAAATTCCCTGGACGCAGTAGAGTTTTTCTGGGAAAACTCTGCAGTCTAGACATAGCCTTTGTGTGCATAGGTGGGGGTGTATTGTTTGAAAGACAACATAAAATGAACTATCATTGTCCTGAAGTTAAAACATTGGTCATAACGAGAGAGGCCCTCAAACAGTTCTTTTAACTCAGAAGTTTATTTTTAATAAACATTTTTTCAAAAAAAATTGTACCATAAACCCAAACTTTTACTAATTGTAAAACAATCTGTCAATGACAAATAAATAATAAGAGATCAGATTCAGACTAGGGAAATAAGAGAGTAGTCGATTATAAGCCTAAACTTGTCAGGCAGTCATATCAGCTACTCACTCTCCCCCCCACCCTTGCTGCCCTGGATGAATTTGCCGAGGCAGATGGAGAAGAGGAGACGCTAAGGACGAAGTTGGAGAAGAAGTTCCTGGAGCAAAACACTGAAGGATCATGTAAAGCCTGAGTGGGAATGTGGGAGAATTAGAGAAGCCAGGAAATGATGGCAAAACCTGAGCGAGGCGCCTGCTTTGTAGGCCGTGACTGTCTGAGCTAGGGATGTAACAGTGTAGTCGATGAACCGATGAGCAAAAGCTTGTAGGTTAATGCTATAGGCTACAAGCATTTTCCCCCACTCACTCCAGTACATTTTTTAGCAGGCTGGCCAACAGCCCAGCTTAGTCCCGGCTTGTGCCAGGATCAAATCCTGCTGCAGTTCTGCAATTTAAAAGGCAGTAGGAGCCGGGCAGCCTGCCCCGTCTCCTGCTCCATTTTAAATTGCAGAACCACTGCGGGGTTTGGTCCGTGACCCATCATGAGCCGAAACTGAGTGAGGCTGCCTGCCCACCTGTCTCCTACTAAATGTCCCATTTCTCTTTCCCATGGGGAAAAGTGTCTGAGCAAAGAGTAGAATTGCTCTGCATTACCACATTTTCACCCCATTTTTGCAGATTTAAGGTGGTTTTGTTCATCCCTCTACAGCAGAACCTAGCATATTGGCCTAAGTAAATATGACCTTTTGAAACATCTATTATGCAGGAAAACATTATTTTAAATAAAAATGTAAAGAATTTTTAAAGGATTTTTTAATCGTGTTGTGCACGATTTATGTTTAGTTCAATTTATGTAAAATAGTTGTATGAACCAAAGAATGAGTTGGCTAAGAAGCACCTTTAGTCTGTTTGGTAGCGTTGCCAGGTGTTCAGTTTTTAATTGTAATACCCCATGAAAAAGGGCACTAAAAGTCCATTCAGCAGCGAAGCAGAGCTATGTCAGACTCCCTGCCTTCACAAACTCCATGCGGCTCCCAGGAGTTGAACATACTGGCCACTCCTAAATGCAGAGGTGGCCATGGGGGCTCTATTCTCTGCCGCCACCCTAGATGCCAATGCTGGCTCTGCAGCTCCCATTGGCTGGGAACCACACCGAAAGGGAGCGGAGGGGGTGGTACCTGCAGGCATGGGCAGCTTGCAGAGCACCCTGAATCCACTGCTTAGGAGAAGGACATGCCACCCACTTCCAGGAATTTCTTGAGGTAAACACCACCTGACTGAACCCACACCATCTTCCTCTGCCCCAGCCTGGAGTCCCTTCCTGCACCCTAAACCCCTTATCCCCAGAATCCACACCCCCAGTCGGAATCTGCACCTACAACCCAACCCTCTGTCTCAGCCCTTAGCCCCCTCTCATACATTGGGCTCTTCAGCCCCAGCCCATAAGCTCCTCCTGCACCACAGATCCCTCATTCCTGGCTCCACCCTACAGCTCACAATCCCAGCCAGAGTACTCACCCATCCCACACCCCCAGCCCACAGCCTCCTCCTGTATGTTGAACCAATCATTTCTGGCCCCACCCCAGAGCCTACACCCCAAGCCCATGCCCTAGCCTGGTGAAAGTGAGTGTGAGGGAGAGCACGAATGACAGGGGAAGGAGGGAATGTAGTGAGAAGGAGCAAGGCCCTGGAGAATGGGCAGGGTAGGGGTGCTCAGTGTTCTGCAATTAGAAAACCGGCAACTCTGCTATTGGTTCACGTAGTCCAACTCCCTGTAATATGGAAATATTTAAATATTCTAAACCTAAACTAAAAGCTAAAGTTACATTTTCTTGCATATCTTGTATTGCTATAATCTGAATCCAGTATAATAGGACTGAACATCTGATCTTTGTAATCTCTTCATTTTCAAAATGCTCTATAGCATTTTCCAATTAACTCTCACACTATCTCTTGATAAACTTAAAAAACAAAAAATAGTATGGTCGCACTTTAAAGACTAACAAAACATGTAGATGGTATCATGAGCTTTCGTGGGCACAGCCTACTTCTTCAGATGACCGGAGTGTTGTATGTCCAGAACCAAAATAAACAGGGTTCTGAAGGAAGGGGAGGGGAATAACAAAGGAAGGCAGTGGGTATATAAATAGCAAAGGGAAAACTTAGCTGGTATGGAAGGCTGTGTCTAGACTACATGCCTTACCTATCTTCACATCACTTAGGGTGTATCTAAACTACATGGCTCCATCGATGGAGCCATGTAGATTAGGCTGATTGGCAAAGGGAAATGAAGCCGTGATTTAAATAATCACAGTTTCATTTAAATTTAAATGGCTTCCGCACTGATCAGCTGTTTGTCGGCTCAGCGCGCTAGTCTGGACGCTCCATGCCGACCTGAAAGCCCTTTATCACCCTCCCCGTTATGCCTCGTAGGATGAGATTTATCAGGGAGGTCGATAAAGGGCTTTCATGTCGGCAGGGGAGCATCCAGACTAGCGCACTGAGCGGACAAACAGCTGATCAGCTGTTTGTCGGCTCAGCGCGGCAGCCATGTAAATGTAAATGAAGCCGCGATCATTTAAATCGCGGCTTCATTTGCCTTTGCCAAAACAACAAATCTACATGGCTCCGTCGATGGAGCCATGTAGTTTAGACATACCCTAACAGGCAAAACTGATAGCCTATAAGCACCTAAAAACTGAATAGTTAAAAGGAGCAGATAAGGACCATTAGTTAGCAATTGGAGAGGAAGAGTACTAACCCCAGAATCTACACAGACAAAGAACCATTGGCACCTTAATGGTTTGGTTGGATTATAATGTCCCAGCCATCAATTCAAACCACTGGCATGCAAATTAAACTTGTGAATGAATTATAGTTCCAACCCTTCTCTGTGTATTTGGCTTGTGGAATTGGTCTGTAACAAAACAGCAACTTGAAGATCTCTTAATGAATGACCATGCAAATTAGTGTGTTCACCAACAGGTTTCTGTATGTTCCCTTTACGGATATCTGATTTGTGTCCATTGATTCTTTTCTGTATAGACTGTCCAGTTTGTCCAGTATATATTGCAGGGAGGCATTGCTGGCATTTGATGGCATAGTTCACATTACCGGATGTGCAGATAAATGAGCCTCTGATTTGGTGGCTTATGTGGTTGGCTCCAGTGATGAATTCGCTTGTATAGATATGTGGGCAGTATATAAATGTTATTTTCCTGTATTACATGAGGAAACTGATATAAAGAAGTTAAGATGTATTACAAAAAGAAAACAAAAACTTGAATTAAGAATAGATTTCTAAGAAGACAGTAGCCTTACTAAAGAGTCTATCAGCACATTTAACACCAATTTAAGTTTTAAATAACTTTTTAGAAGTTCTTTGTTTCCGTTTGGGAATCCTTTTGGTATTTGCTTCCTGGTTTCTTGGCGATAGCCCATAATTTACCATTCTGTAATTTCATACTTATTATGGAAGCCCTGATTTGATATGAGATTTCAGAGATTTGTGGCTTTGCATTCTGGGATTGCTTCAGCAAAATAGCAAATATTAAGAGGATTTCACAGAAAACAATAATGAGAAATAAGTTAAAATGCATTTCTGTGCTGAATACTCCTTATTGCTTGATTGCTGAGGGATCAGAGTAATCTGTATTATAATCCGTTTTCCTTTTTTTGCTTTATTTTTAAGTGAGTTGCCTAAGGGTAAGACGTAAGTCAGTGAGAGAGT